CGTGCCATGGTGCGAGATATTTGGTCGCAGGGGAAACATCCATGGTGTTTTAACAAGAGCCTGTGCTGGTAGCGTAGTCGTGGCCCTGAAGCCCGCTTGCATTTTGAAACGGTTCCAAAAGCCCGTGCCCCATAACCCGCCTACACTTTAAAAGAGTTCTACAGGGCCCTCACCCTACGAGCACGAAGGAACATGCGACAAGCTTCTAGGGCCCTCACCAAACCCTAGCACGAAGGGAGGGGACATACGACAAACCTCTAAGGGAGATGTTTCTGCTTAACGGCATGGAAAACATAGCATGTTTGCGCTTGTACACCCAATGGAGCCGCGATTACGTTACCAGCACACAAGGGATTGACATCTACTTAAACCACCTTTGTGAAAGGGCCGCGAGCCCTTTAACTGAGCAACAAGAGTTGGGTACAAACCCTGCTTGCTCTGCGAAAAGGCTCTACACAAGCGGAAAAACATCCTACGTTGTTCCTGACGTTTGCACTTTCAGAACACTGTAGAATTAAAAACATATCCCTTAGAGGTTGGTCGTATGTCGCCTCCCTTTGTGCTCGTGAGGTTTGGTGAGGGCCCTAGAAGTTTGTCGCCTGTCCCCTCCCTTCGTGCTAATGGGGTGAGGGCCCCTAGAAGTTAGGCGCAAAAGCCCTAGAACCATAGCGCGTTGCCCAGAGTTCAACGTTTGAAGGTTTCAGACAGGCTCTTGGCTGGTCCTTGTGTGCGCGAGCGTGTTCAACTAGCATCCTGCCGTTTGGGGACCGAATGTACTCAAATAGCACTCAAGTTTTGGGGACCGAGCGTGTTCAACTAGCATCCTGCTTTTTGAGGACCGAGCGTACTCAATTGGCACCCAAGTCTTGGGGACCGAGCGTGTTCAACTAGCATCCTGCTTGTTGGGGGACGAGTGTACTCAAACAGCACCGAATCTTTGGGATCAGAGCACTGTAGAAGTAAAAACAGATCCTTAGAGGTTTGTCGCACGTCCCTCCGTTTGTGCTCGTAGGTTTTGGTTAGGGCCCTACAAGTTTGTCGCACGTCCCCTCTCTTCAAACTCCACCCCATCTGTGCCCTGCCAAATGGCTCTCGCAATGGCGCAAGCTGCTTGGTCGCAAGGGAAACATCCATGGTGCTTAACACGTTCACAAGTTTTCAGGGCTGGTCACAGGGGCATATTTACAACGCTTATGGAGTCAAACATCTCAATGTACCTAAACCACCTCCTTTAGGAACGTGCTTCGCTAGTCGCAGGGCACATTCACAACCCTTAACAGAGCCACGATTATGTTACCAGCACAGGCTTTTGGGTCATCGTAAGCAACTAGCAGCCCATCCGCGCCCTGATGACCAAATAGCTCGCCAGAGCTCCCCCCCTCTCCCCCATACAATGGCCAACTTGCAAGGCGCCAGGCTCCGAGGCATGACGACATCTTTTGATTCTTGGTAAACCTTTGCATTTCCCAAATGCCCGGAAACCAATCCGGGCACGCTTTCTCGATGTTTTCCATCGTCGGCGCTTGCGCTTGTAAGTCTTGGGGACCGAGCGTGTTCAACTAGCATCCTGCTTTTGGGGGACCAAGCGTACTCAAACGGCACCCAAGTCTTGGGGACCGAGCGTGTTCAATAGCATCCTGCTTTTGGGGGACCGAGCTTACTCCTATAGCACCCAAGTTTGGGTAGAGTTTGGTGAGGGCCCTCGATGTTTGTCGTACGTCCCCTCCCTTCGCGCTCGTAGGGTGACGTCGCAAGCAACTAGCAGCCCTTCTGCGCCCTGATGACCACATAGCTCGCGCCATGCCGCGAGCTATTTGGTCGCACGGGAAACATCAATGATGTTTTAACACGTTAAAACAGACTTTCAGGGCTAGTGAGGCTAAGTGTTCTGAGCCCAAAAGCCTATGCCGGTAGCGTAATCGTGACCCTATGGCCCACCTGCATTTTCAAGCAGTTCCAACAGCCAGTGCTGGTAACGTACTGGCGGCCCCAGAACCCGCCTGCACTTTTAAACGGTAATAGTAACCTCCAGGGCCCTGACCCTACGAGCACGAAGGAACATGCGACAAACTTCTAGGGCCCTCACCAAACCCTAGCACGAAGGGAGGGGACACACGACAAACCTCTAAGGGACATGTTTTGACTTCTTCAGTGTTCTGAAAGTGCAAACTACACCCTATGGAGCTGCGATTATGCTACCAGCACACAAGGGGTAAACATCTCTATTTGCTTAAGCCACCTATTTTCAGGGGCTGCGTAGCCTTTCCGCAGAGCAAGAAGAGTTGGGTACAAACCTTGCTTCGTCTGCGAAAAGGCTCTACACAAGCGCAAAAAACATCCTACGTTGTTCCTGACGTTTGCACTGTCACAACACTGTAGAAGTAAAACCGTATCCCTTAGAGGTTTGTCACAGAGGGCCCTAGAAGTTTGTCGCATGTCCCCTCCCTTCGTGCTCGCAGGGTGAGGGCCTCTAGAGGTTAGGCCTGAAAGCTCTAGAACCAGTGCTTGAAGGGCCCAGGGTGCGAGGGTTGAAGTTTTCAGAGAGTCGTTTAGCGTCAACTCGCATCCTGCTTTTGGGGACCAATCGTACTCAAATTGCACCCAAGTTTTGGGGACGTGTCCAACGCGGGACCGAGCGTACTCAAATAGCACCCAAGTCTTGGGGACCGAGCGTGTTCAACTAGCATCCTGCTTGTTGGGGGCCGAGCGTACCCAAGCTTTGAGATCAGAACACTGTAGAAGTAAAACATATCCCTTAGAAGTTTGTCGTATGTCCCTCCATTTGTGCTCGTAGGCTTTGGTGAGGGCCCTACAAGTTTGTCGCACGTCCCCTCTCTTCGAGCTCCACCCCATCTGCGCCCTGATGACCACATAGCTCGCGCTATGGCGCAAGCTGTTTGGTCGCAGGGGAAAGATCTATGGTGCACGATGAAACACAAGTTTTGAGGGCTGGTCGCAGGGCAACCCTGATGGAACCACGATTACATTGCCAGCACAAGGATAAACATCTCAATTTACTTAAACCACCTCTTTTAGAGAACGTGTTTTACTGGTCGCAACGGCACATTCACAACCCGTATAGAGCCACGATTACGTTACCAGCAGAGGGTTTTTGGTTTTCATCGTAAACAGCTAGCACCCCATCTGCTCTGATGCCGGGTTTCAAGCTGAGCTTTCAAGCTGGGCTCAACAAGGGCATGTTGCCGACTGTTGGCCGGATCCGGGTTTCAAGTTGGGCTCAAAGGGCATGTTGCCGACTGTTGGGCCACGTTGGCCGGGTCCGGGTTTCAAACCGCGTGACACCCTCCCAAATCACCACTACGTGTAATTGCAGCGCATGCTGCTGGACGGCGAAGTGGTTGTCATCGACCGCACCGAGCCTGAAGTTGCCAATCCTGGGGCCAGGGTTTAGGGTTTAGGGTTTAGGGTTTAAGGTTTAGGGTTTAGGGTTTAGGCTTGAGGGTTTAGGGTTTAGGGTGTAGGGTTTATGGTTTAAGGTTTAGGGTTTAGGGTGATCACAGGGCTTAGGGGTTAGGGGTTTCAAGAGGAACTAAGGCACAACCAAGGCCTTGTCATAAGCATGTGGAACAAGTACAAGGTTTTGCTCCCTATGTTGATATATTGTGGTAACCTCAGAGAGGCCTTCCATCACGTTCGCTGTTGCAAACACGAAACCGCTGTTGCTAGCACGAAACCTGGCATGAAGACTACCAAAGACGTACATGCAGTGACGAACACGTTCTTCGAAATATTACACGAAATGCTCGCAGTTTCTAAACAGGATCCCAGTTTGCCCAGAGTCTGCATGTACTGGTAGCCGAAGCGGATGTGCCTGCATGCGCCGGCTGCTTTGATTGGCCTCAGGGAATTGGAGGCCTTGGAGGGTCCCTGGGCCCTAAAGCTTAAACCCGAAACCTCAACATCCCTAAACCCGAAACCCTAAACCCTAAACCCCAGGGTTTAGAGGGTTTAGGGTTTAGGTTTTAGGTTCTATTTTTTGGCCACCCGCCTAGCTGTCCACTCAAGACGCACTGCAGGGAGATCACATGTTACTAGAAGATTTAGGGCCTAGGGTTTGGGGCGAATAATGGTGCACGGACCCTTTGGACTCATAAGTCAGGGATCACCACTTCAGCGACACCTCCGAAGAACCAAAGGCTTGGACTTGCTACGCCTAAACCCTAAACCCGAAATCCTAAACCCGAAACCCCAAACCCTGAACCCCAAATCCTAAACCCTAAACCCTAAACCCTAAACCCTGAACCCCAAATCCTAAACCCTATACTTTACCCTGAACCCTAAAGCCAGCTGCGAGCCTGTCGGAAGTCCAGGCGTTGAATTTCCCCCAGTCACCTCTGTGGTCGTAAAAGACCCTTCCGTCGTCTCGCCACACCGCCGCAACCTTGTGGGTGTCCTGAAGTAAGGGTTTAGGGTTTAGGATTTAGGGTTTAGGGTTTAGGTGTTCTTTCTCCACCCGTTTCGCATGCGGTTACGGGGAAAAGGGTTTAGGGTTTAGGGTGAACGGCTCCATGTGTTTGAGGCCCGTGACGAAATCTTAGATGTAGGGTTCTAGTTTTTATGAGACACTCATTGGACACAGTGCCTTTATCAGTCTTCCGCAGAAAGGCACAAACACCAGGCGTAGAAAAAGGTAAGCCCAACTGGTAAAGGTAAGAAGACTGTAGTCCGCCAAGGTTGATTTTACACGAGATTTAACCAGCAAACCTGTATCCTACAATTAAACAGACACCTTTGTTTGTTCTGTCTTAACCTCTCGGGTCACCAGATTTCTCTACTTTTCTTCCACTCTTTCTGGCAGGTACTCTGTCCTTATGAATCTGTCTCAGAAGTCATGTGTTATAGAGATAATCAACGATAGTCTGCAGTTGTGATTCTGCCTATGGACCCCCAAGCTGTATGTGCAAGCATAGACTGGGACATTAGGGGCTAGGGTTCAGGGTTCAGGGTTTAGGGTTTAGGGCTTGGGCCATATCAGCTTCTCATGCTAAAGCACGCTCTCTTGACATGTTCGGGTCCTGATGCGAGATTGATAGGTGCCTCCCATCAATGTCCGCAATTCGAAACTTGCCAAGCTGGATAAACTTGTCGCCCATGGGAATATCGTGGCACGCGCCGCTGTTTTTGAGCGGTTGTGCTGCACTTCGAATGTACTCTGGCGGCACAAGTTCGACCTCCTCCTCGGACGGGGGGCCTCGGCCCGCCGTCTTGCACCCGATCTCCTGTGCACAAGAGGACCTCTCACCACTGTGGCCATTCGGCGTCCTCCAGACATCCTCGCAAAACAGCTTCTGGGGCTGTAGCAGCGTCAGGGCCTTGAAGAGCCACTTGAGGCCCAGGCCGGGAATAAGGTTCGCCAGGGCATCTCCCGCCCTTCTCGCCGCTGCCTTGATGGGCTCCGTGACGGCGCTGGATCCGGGAATGCACTTAAGTGGACCGGCAATCATGTCGATCATCGCCTCTGCACCTTTTTCCGGGCATCTAGCAAAGAGCCACTGGAACGAGTTGAAGAGTGCATCTTGCCTTGAACGCTTAACACTTTTTATTCCGATATTTTTTTGCAAGCGCCCTCCACATCCCCACCCAAACTTCGGAGGGCCAAAACTCTAAACCCCCATGGCCCATGGCTGCCTTTGTTCATGCCTTCCTTGATCATCTCCTTGAGGAGGTCATCGTTTAACCTGAGTTGCTGAGTTCATAAGCCACCCAAAAGTGTACACTTTCAGTTCTATAAGGGGTTATAGTATCCCAAAATGTGTCAAGTGTGCTCAGCCAGCTACTAAGTAACAAATCCTTCAACCACTTCGGGATTCCGAAGCCGGTGATGACAAAGTCCGCGTAAAGACTGAGGGCCTTCGGATGCAAGATGCAAGGCTGGCACTCGATTAGGGGTTTTTGGGTTTAGGGTTTAGCGTTTAGGGTTTAGGGTTTAGGGTTTACGGTTTCGGGTTTAGGGTTTAGGGTTTAGGGTTTCGGGTTTAGGGCTTAGGGTTTAGGGTTTAGGGTTTGGGGTTTAGGGTTTGGGGTTTAGGGTTTAGGGTTTAGGGTTTCGAGCCCATGTCCACGCTGGCTTTCGGACACAAGCTGTGCCATCCCTTTGCAGTGACGACCGTCAGGGTCTGAAGCCCTGAGGCGTAACATCCGCCTGCAACTGAAATCGGGAATGATGCGACATGCAGGCGTAGACAAGTCTGTCCACACCTGCTGTTGTGTGAATTATATGCAACCCTCACACAAGGCCGCAGCCTCTGCACACCAGCTGCTCGTGCAAACCTGCCTGCCTAAACCTGGTTTTGCCATCGAGGGTCTAAACTTTTCTTGCAACTACCTTAAACCCCTAAAGCCCCTTTCCTAAACCCTGCTCAACCCCTAAAAAACCTAAATCCATCGGCCCTATGCTGGAGGCTCAGCTTCCGGCTGCAGCACCACACAGCTTGAGTTGTGACGAATGTCTATCCTCCCAGGGCCGGATCGTTCCTCTGAAATTTAGGGTTTAGGGTTTAGGGTAGAGTTTAGGGTTTAGGGTTAAGGGTTTTGGGTTTTGGGTTTGGGCTTGAGTGTTACTAAGCATGAAGCCTGTTGTTTGTGCCAAGGGTGTCAGGGTTTCGGGGTGAAGTGGATCAACAAGGTGAAGCCTAATACTTGGGGCCAGGTTGCAAACATGAAGACGACTACTACTAAGCAATGATTCTACTCCTACTACTCCTACTACTCCTACTACTCCTACTACTCCTACTACTCCTACTACTCCTAGTACTCCTACTACTCCTATGCGACACGCAAGCTCTGGATGCGAAGGACAAAAAGTCTCAGGGTATGTTTCCAGTGAGAGTTCTTCGAGCATTAAGCTTAGGGCTATATAGGGTTTCCACTAGAGGTTACGCATCAGGGCATATATGTTCCTGAGGCTCTCAGGGTTTGCTTCCCAATGTGGGACACACGTTGGCGGACGGAACAGGCCTTGTGGAGGAGAACATGGGCTGTTTTCCAGGGTTGAGGTGCAAGAATTGGTTTTCCAGGATTGCATTTTCAGGGTTTGTGCTTCGGACACGGTCCACAGAACCCTAAACCCTAAACCCCAAACCCTAAACCCTAAATCCTAAACCCTAAACCCCGCCACCTCTTCCAGATCTTGCGAGTGCAGAAGAGCCAGGCTTTGGTTGGATGGTGATGGGGCCGACTCCACAGACTCCTGCAGCAGCAAACCTCAGGGACGTGCCAACAATCCGGCACCGATGTGTGCAGCATGCTGGCTACATGTATTCACCAGCACCACTGTTTGTTGTTTTGTGCCCCTCTGTCTGTCTGCCTGCCCGCCTGGCTCGCTCGCTTTCGTTTCTTCTCCTTCTTCTTCTTCTACTCTCGCTCGCTCTCTCTCGCTCTCCCCCCCTCTCTCTCTCTCTCTTTCTCTCTCTCTCTCTCTCTCTCTCTCTCTCTCTCTCTCTCTTCTTTCTCTCTAGCCCAAGCGCACGCTAACGGTATGGTGCGATTAACACCCCAAGTCCTAAACCCAACAACCTAAACAATACAGGAAACCGCCTACGGAGAGATATCACATCATGAATCAGCACGGATTTCGACACCATGCCTGCCCCGGGGTGTGTTATCGTGCCCTTCGCTTTGGCTTCTGCATGGAGCTTGGGCGCGAAAGTGACAGGAATACCAGGTAAGGGCCACACCTGTTGGATGGCTTCAGGGTTTAAGGCATAGGGAGGTTTAGGGAAGTTTAGGGCGTATGGTTTCGGTTTATGTCCCTGCAATTCTAAGGATCCTACAGCCTGAACTTTGGGTTTCAAACCCTGAGCCCTAAACCCTAAAACCCTAAAACCCTAAAACCCTAAAACCCTAAAACCCTAAAACCCTAAAACCCTGAACCCCAAAACCCATTGCAGCCGTGGCGCCATGAACTCCGGGCCCACACTCAATCTCACCGAGGCGTCTGCGCTCGCCGCAATTTGGACCTCCTCCTCGGGCAACTCGCCAGCATCGGAGGCAACTTGCACCCTAAAAACCCTAAAAACCCTAAAGCCCCAAAAACCCCAAACCCTATAAGCCTGCTAGGACGATCAAATCGACCGCACTGAAAATTTCAACACCCTAAGCCCTAAACCCTAAAGCCTTAAAGCCCTGCTGCGTGCCTGGTGCCTCATTTCCGGTGTCTCCACGCTGACCTCAGAATTGCCATTCTTGTCGACCGTGACGGTGGCGGATACGCTGAACCGCGCTTCGTTGGAAAACTCGACAGTTCCTGTTAGAGATCCTTTTCCCACCAGCTCCACTTTCGTCTGGAGCACGAATAGGAGGCCTCAGGCCACGGTTTAGGGTTTAGGGTTTATAGGGTATAGGTTTAGGGTTTAGGGTTTAAGGTTTAGGGATACCCACATTGGCAAGTCACAAAAGTACGCCCGAGGAAGAAGCAAAGCATGAATGAAAGGAAGAAGGAAGTAAAACCATACCCCATCCCACCCGCCGATGCGTCCATCTATGCGCCCGTGCAACAACGCATTCCCCATAGAGCGGCGTATACTCGTAATGCGCGAGTTTCATTCATTGCATTCCTCCCTTCCCTTCCCTTCCCTTCCCTTTCCTTTCCTTTCCTTCAGGCTACATACATCCAAACACACGTCGAATACATGCGCACTGCACACACACAACACAGCAAAGAAAGACCCGACTTACACTGATGCAAGCATGCATACATGTGTTCAGTGGATTGGCATTGCACATACTTGGACACGCATGGATTCATGTTCAAAGGAGAACTACCTCTGGTCATGCCTTCTGCAGCTTCGAAAGTAACATGATGTTAAGTACACCAAGTCATAGATGCAACTCCGCCTGAAACTGCCCGTCAGCATTCGAGCCGAGAAACAAAACTTCCCTGCGCAGAACATCTTCTTCTTGGGTTTGCGCAGGTGCCTCCAGTACGTGTAAGTGCAACTGCCCTGCCCCTTGATGTAAGTGTCGTAGGACGCCCGGATCTCGCCACTGATCACAATCCTCAGTCGCATAACGCTCTTTATATTCTGGACCACACGCCAACTGCGCAGTGGCATCACATTGCTACGACCAGACCGAAGCTTCCAAACCTCTCTGCACCTCCTGGAACCTGTCTTGGCACAGGGGCATCGCAGGGCTAGAGCTTCTGCAGTGAGAACTGAAGATGCCCCCCTACGCTACCGTAGAGCACTAGACGTACCAACAAGACCTTGCCGGCCAGCGAGCTTTGTCCACCCGTTGTTCTGGACAGTGACCGTGACATCCTGGGCACTTGGGCAGGCGAAGTCATGTTGAGAGCGTCCCTTTTTTGTTCTTTTCTTTTCTAATCTTCTAGGTGCAACAGCATACGAACGACGTAGACAATGCAATTGTTTGTTCAATGGCAACCGACATGGGGTTCAATAAAACCCCGTTACGAAACATTGCATCCTTAAAAGCGCTATCGTTTGGTTTATTACTTGTTATCGTTTAAAGTGCTGACAGTCACAGGGATGCGGGCGGTGGGTGTCGCCAAACGCAGAACTGTCGTCTCTTTCGGTTCTATGTTTTGTTTGCCGATCAACGGTCACAGGGATCCCCTTTTTTGAGCGTCGCAACATGCAGAACTGTCGGCACTTTCGGACCTGTCTCGTTTGTCAACTGTCACAGGGATCGCACAAGAAATGGAGTCACAGGGATTGCTGTGGGGAGCCAACTCAGGGAACGGGCGCATGGAACGCAGAGTGTGGGAACCCTATCGGCCCTGTCGTTTCTGTCTTGTCTTAGGACACCCTAACCCTTGCTTCACGATGCTCCCTCTAATCGTTTCTTACACGACAGCTACTGAAATCCAGTGCGTGGGGTTTTTGTTGAACCCCACATGGCAAAAGTCGATCAGCAAGAGCCCAGTATCTGGGCTGAACTGGGAGACCCCGTCGACGGCCACATGGAGGCCGGCCTCACATGAAGCTTTCGGCGCCTCGGTTACCTTTCTCGGATCCTTGGCTTGCCCCAGGATTGGCTTAAGGTTTAGGGCTTAGGGTTTAAGGTTGGGGCTTTAGGTCTTAGGCTTTAGGACTTTAGGGTTCAAGATTGAGGTTTACGGTTTATTGAAAGTTTTATATGCTTGAAAATTTGTGTTTAGGCTTCAAGGAACTTACGGTTTACGGTTTACGGTGGTGCCCTGATGGCATCACCTGTCGCGACAAAGAAGCTTCAAAGACATTGAGCTCACGGGAGTTAGTGCGAGGCTCTTTCATGATGTCGTGTGATTTCATGACCTGATCGACCGTCTTGAAAGCTTGCTCGTAATCACTTCCCGGAAGAACATTTGGCGTTTTGGTCTTAGCACTGGTCGTTCTGATCCCCACGCCCGCAGCAAACTCCGAGGTTCTCGAGAATTTGCACCGCACCTCCATCTGGCTGGACGTAAACCTGACGTAGCTCCCAGCATTGCAATCACACTCTTTCCCGATCAGCACGTGGCAAAGGGACACTGACGTGGAGAGCCGCGCGCAGTTGATGAAACTCTTCACTTGGTTCCAAACCGTTTGCGACATCCCCACAACCAGAGGCCCAACCTTGGCAACCTCGTTTCCGAAGGCCACCGCAGCATTTGCGATGGCGTTCCCAACCGCGGTGGCCACCTTTGCTCCTTGCTCAGCCGTCTTCTTCGCATGCTCCAGGGTCGTCTCTGCAAGACGGATCGTCATTCTTGCGCTTTTTTGGGCAAGCTGCCTTGTTGTTGTTGCTGTCACATCAAGGACTTGCGAGGCTTGGCTTCCCACATCGTTGACGAGGTCTGTCATCGTGTCGTCGAAGTCGCTGATCCGCATGGTGGGGGCTTCGATGACGCGACTTCCTACCACGGTGACGGCGTTGGCGACCGCCGAGCCCACTGTCATGCCTGAGATTTCTTGGGGGGACAATTTTTGGAGTGCAACCCTTGATTGGATTCCTGGATGCAACCCACATGCCTGCATCGGCCAGAGCATTGGCAACGCCTGCGAAGGTGTTGAAGACATCCCCGAAAAACTTGGCCGACACGGCGGCGTCGAGCTCCTCACTTTCACCAAGATCTTCATCGGAGGCATGACCACGCTCACGCGAAGACATTCGCGAAGAACGGGCGAACAAGGCTTGTTGCATATCCACATCTGCATGATCGGTGGAGCTTTGCTCTGCGTGCAGCTGGATGGTAGCTGCCGAGATGGACGAGTTCGACTCCTGCAGAAGGATAAACAACCTACAATGGACAATGCCAGCTTTGCCCTTGCAACAAATAGCACCTTTCGCGACACTTGGGGACACAACGGCCTGCCTGCGATAGCTTCATTGCCGCCGCAAGGGGGATGATCGCCCTGTTCAGATGAATGGGTATGCGAATGTAGACGTAGATATACACAATTATGACCTTTATGTGTACATGCCCACATGTACACACGAATAATTACGCATGAACACATATGCACCAATGTAGATGTACATACACAACCACACATACGTGCTCACATACATATGTACATCCATAATTACATAATACATGCATACATACATATGTACATACATCTGCAAGAAAACCAGTATGAATGTACACATTTGCAGAGCTAGTATATACATACACGTGCACAAGTACATACATATATGCTTTCAACGCTGTATACAAACTTACATCAACACACCACATATCTACCACAGTGCAGAAAGACACAACATAGTACATTGATATGCATACGTGCGCATATACAGATTTACATGATTTACACATACGTAAATGGAGCGCTGCAAGCGGCTGAGCCCGAGGCCAAAACATGGCCCAAGGCCAAAGAAATAGCTTCATAGTGAACGGAGTATAGAGCAGCGGAAGACTCGACAGTGTGTCCGCTACGACGAAAAAGAGCTTGAGCCGGAGCCGCAACAGGCGCGCAAAGGCTCCTCTCACGGTGGCACATATGGTTGGCGGATTGAAAAATATTTCTTGAGGAGCATGTAGACATATGAGGGCTCTTAAGATTTATACATGATTTACTAGCCCCGCACAAGCCTCTTCCCTTTTACGATCGGCCCCATGTTGCACAATCCCCTTCTTCTACGCGCCAAATCCGTTCAAAGATCCCAATATCAGCAACTTTCCGGAGCACGATGTGCTGGAACCTCGACAATCAGAGCCCCAGGTGCGCCTACAAGTAACTAAAGAAAGTTTCGGACCCCGCGCTCTTTTTCTGATGTTCAGGGATTTTTCACCACTCACATGCCTGGGGTATGACAGTTCGACAGATCCCAACCCGTCTTGGGCTACAAAAATCTGCGACAAACAGTGGTGAAACACGCGCCGCCGCCGCGAGACGCCGTGAAGGCCAGAGCTTGCTCAGGGTTCTGTCGGGTTCTCAAGATCGCACCTGGAGCAGCTGAAGCGTGGGGTTGCCTTCCGCCGCCGCCGCCAAAGCCTGCCCAAACCCCTCGATCTCGACCCACTCCCAACGCTCACCTCCACAAGCATTCCCGATGTCGCTTTTTTTTACTCTATTTGCTTCGGGAACCCCAAAAGAAGCACTGCATCCCACACCATCTTCATCCCTCGCCTTCTCGCAGACTTCCGGGACGTCACACCACTTCAGATTCACCTCCACCAGCCCGACATTCCGCAAGATGCCCTCCGCCAAGGCCTGAAAACGCTGAAGTTACTGAAGTTGTTCTTGTCACTTTTTGCAGCTGCTTGTTTTTCGCTTTTGTTGATCTATCTTCTTGTTCTTGAACTGGATGTCTTCATATCCTACCTGTAGCTTCTTGTAGCTTCTGTGACTGGGTTGTTCGGGTTTGGGAATGGCTGGTGGGAGTTTTGGCGACCCTCCGACCAGAAGGAGATGAGATGTACAGAATGGGCATCTGCGCTCTGGGCCCTTTGTGACGCCTCAGCCTCCTTGTTGGCAGGTTCTTTGACCCTGAAGGTGCGGAAGAGTTTTCCGCAAGACTTAACCAAAAAATGAGGTCTGGTAGGGGGTCTATATAAAGCTCAAGGTTTATAGGGTTTAGGGCAGATTTATAGGGGTTTTTGGGCTTATAGGATTCGGGTTTATGGTTGAGCTGAGGTGGCGTACGTCCCCCGACCTCGCAACCCTCTGCGCCGAGGGCGTCGTTGTAGCCGAGATAAAGGTCTTTCAACGTCCCGTTCGCTTTCAGCGCCGTGCCCAAAGCCTGAAGAGCGTGTTTTTTTTGGTGTGCTGTTTTCCGAGGGCTTAATTACAGTAAGATTACTAGGGTTATAGGCATAGGGCTTATGCAGGGTTTAGGGCTTATAAGGTCTGTACATGCTTAGGGCTTAGGGTTTAGGCTTAGGGTTTGCTCATGGCCTTAGGGCTACTGGGGTTTGTCCCCCGTCCCTCGCCTGGGCGCCGGCGGTTGCGATTCTGCAGCCGCCCAGGTCGATCCTCTCGAGGCTTCGGTTCTCGGCGAGGCCCTCGGCCAAGGCCTTTCGACAGGTTTCAAGTTGCTTCGGAGATCTGTTTTTTAGGGGGGAAATCTGACTCGATATTTTTGTCCACATGCGCCGGCCCTGAAAGCAACTGCCTGGCCCGAATCTGAGTTTCAAGTTGCACATGCGCTGGCCCCGAAAGCAACTGCCTGGTCCGAATCTGGGTTTCAAGTTGCACATGCGCTGGCCCCGAAAGCAACTGCCTGGCCCGAATCTCAAGTTTCACATGCGTTGGTCCCGCATTTCTGGATCTGCTGATTTGGAACAGTCGCAATTTGGGGACAATTTCATTGCACCCCACATTTCTTGAACTGCTGTTTTGGAAAAAGCGCAATGTAAACTTTCGCTGGCATCCCACATGCCTTGTACTGCTGATTTGGAAAAGCGCTATTTGGGGACAGATTCGTTGCACCCCACATTTCTCCAATCAGCAGTTCAAGAAATGTGGGGCGCAACGAAACCACCCCCTCAAAAACGCGTCATTTCCAGATTTCAAGCATCCAGGTATGTGGTGCTGCTGAGTACGAGTCCAGAGCTGTGGTCTGCAGAGCGCTGACAAAAACTAGCTTGCGACAAGTCAACGTCATGATCCCGGTTCTCTGAAACTCGTACTTCTACAAGAACCGTTAGGGACTCCGAACGTGCAAAAGACAACAGCAAAAAGCTTGAACCGGCAGAAAATCATGTATTCCTCACACAAGTAATTAACGGCACGGCCTTGCAGCCCTCGTCGCCGATGTCCGCATTCCAGCGAAGGTCAAGCTCTTTGAGTGTCTTGTTGAGCTTCAGCGCTGCGCCCAGTGCCTGCGCACCAGCGACGTCAACTCCACATTCCCTCAGATCGATCTTCACGAGCAGAAGGTTCTCTGCCAGGATGTCTGCCAGTGCCTTTTCTTGAGCTGTACCGGACACCAGATCTGGGAATCAAGGGGGGGGGGGCGCCCCTACAACCGCAAAGCCCTGACCTTCGAACTTGGGAAGGGAGCTCAGTCCCCGGAGCGCCCCAGAAGCGGCGTGGGAATGTTAGAACGGTTTAGGGTTTAGGGTTTAGGGTTTAGGGTTTAGGGTTTAGGGTTTAGGGTTTAGGGTTTAGGGTTTAGGGTTTAGGGTTTAGGGTTTAGGGTTTAGGGTTTAGGGTTTAGGGTTTAGGGTTTAGGGTTTACGGTCTAGGTTGCTCCCGGCCTGGAGGTCGGCGGAAGTCAGGGGCTCCTTCTGGCAGCTCAGCTCAGACTCCGCCGTGTCGCTCCGCAGCTTCTTCAAGAGAGCCTGGCGGGAAGCCTCCTACTCGGAGCCCACTTCGCGTTGAGAAGTGAACCCCTAACACTAAACACCTGCAAGAGAAGAACAAAGGCTTCGTGAACAAAAAAGTCAAAACAGGAACGCAGCCAGCCGTTCGCAGCTTAGCAATCAACAGCCATCCAAACCAAAGGAGTTCGTCTGGGTTGGAAAGGAATGGTAGTGAAGAGCATGGCTTTTTCAGCTGAAGCCCGCCTAGACCTTGGAACGCAGGCCGAGCACGCACTTTCTACAAGCACAGCACGCTACGACGAGACCAATCGCAGAATGAACCCTGTCACCTCATCCTCATGCGCAGGATCGCGAAATGACTCTGCCAACCGAATCTGTCTAGTTAGAAGACACTACTGTGATAGTTATCAGCAGAGCAACAAGCACCCTAAGTCGGGTTATACATTACATCACCATACAGTGAACTTGCTGCATGAGAAACTGCTGTATAAGAAACGTAGCGCTTCGTCAAGCAAGCGGGGCCTAAAATTATTAGTTCGCATATAGCTGGTAGGGGGGGCTAAAAAGCCAAATTCACAAACGCAAGGGGCTTCGCCTCTCAAGTTTCTCAATTTGTTGTGTTTCAATTTGATAGGGGGGGGGGGGGGGGGGGAATTCTCAACAAGGGAAAACTAGTGAATGTAGGGGCTTGGCTTCTTCACTCCCGGGGTGTGTGTGAGGGGCGGGGGCAAGGTGTGAGGAAGTTTGGTGATATCTGATTATAGTATTATAGTATTATAGTATTATAGTATTATAGTATTGTAGTATTATAGTATTATAGTATTATAGTATTATAGTATTATAGTATTATAGTATTCTAGTATTATAGTATTATAGTATTATAGTATTATAGTATGGGCAGGATAAACATGATATCCAGGGGCTTTGAAGCTCTCTCGGATGCTTGGAGCACCGAGGAACTGACCCGGCTTCTTGTCGCGCATAAGTCTGACTGCTTCAGTCGATTGTGGATGTGGACAGGCTCGAACCCCTCGTGCAGAAACGAAGGGTACCCAACATCTGGGTCTGCAAAACTTCGGCAACTAGGAAACCTAAGGGTTACCTAACCCAGCGATCGCCCTCTAACCCACAAAGAAACCGTTACCCCAGCTTCAGCTGGGAAGGATGGCTTGGTAGCTTTGAAAAAGTGGCTAACTGCCCACCAATGGGGGGACAAAAAGAAACGTATGTAGCGAGGGTCCAGGAACCCGAATGCATGCGTCAGACATGGCACAAAGGCACGGCGCGATTTCCCCCACGACGAGGGCACGACTCTGAATGACGTGGAGACAGGACCTCGAAGCCACGCTCCCGCCACGAACCCCGTCAAGGGGAACAAACAGCGATAAGACAGCAACGACAAAGCGCAAGGCAGAATTCAAAGCCTAGACGAGGAGGCAACGATTAGATATCCCCAGCGCGACTTTCCAATCGAACTCCAAGAGCCCCGAACCTTTACTGTAGCATCTTATAGCAGAAGTGCTAAGAATCTACAGGAAACCTAGGGAATCCTAAACCATAACCCCCATAAACCCTAAACCCCAATCCCTAAACCTAGGAAGCCCCAATAACCATAATTCTCATACACCCCAAGCCTACACCCAAAAACCTAAACCCTAAACTCAAACCTCTGAACCCTAAACCTTGGAAATCCTGATAACCATAATCCCCATTAAAACTGCAAACCCTAAACCCTAAGCCCTATAAACCCTAAACCCTAAACTCTTAAACCCTATAAACCAGGAAACCCTAATAACCACAATGCCCATAAACAAACAAGAAACATAAACCCTAAACCCTATGACCTAGGATACCCTCATCAAGAACCATAATCCCCATTCCTGTAAAAAGCCAGACTCTGCATGTCAGCTGACAACCATAATCCCCAGCCATAAACCCCATAAACTATAGGGAACCCAAATAATCAAACAATCCCCATAAATCCCCATAAAACCCCTAAACCCTAAACCCTAAACCCTAAACCCTAAACCCTAAACCCTAAACCCCATCAGCTATGAAAAAAGCCCAGAAACACCCAACCTAGGAGTTCATGCGCCTCGAAGCGCGGCGCCCCGGAGGCGACCTGTGAGGCCAAAACGTCTGAGTCGCTTTTAGAAGTCCCAGGCTTTGAGGGTTTAGAGGGTTTAGAGGGTTGAGAGGGTTTAGGGTTTAGGGTTTAGGGTTTAGGTTTTAGGGTTTAGGGTTTAGGGTTTAGGGTTTAGGGTTTAGGGTTTAGGGTCCTACAGAAGGCTTTGGGGGTTTAGAGGGTTCATAGGGTTTGTAGGGTTGATAGGGTTTGGACGCTCACTCTCGCACCAGGCAAGGATTCCATGAGAGGGTTTAGGGTGTAGGTTTGGTCCCACGAAAAGATTTGGAGGTTTAAGTAGGTTTCCTCAAAAGGTACCATATATATATATATGTATGTATATATATATATATGGGGTCACCCCCCCCCAAGATCACACTTACTATGTATATACTGTACATACTTACATATTTTATCTGTTACAGCGTTATTGACTGCTAGAAAACCTTGTTACAGCGTTATTGACTGCTAGAAAACCTCCGTATTTGCAGTGCTTTTTGCTTTCTTACTCTGCACTTGATCCTTATTCCTTGTATACGACTTGTGTGTTCTGAGCAAAAGCTACTGACCGGATTCCGGTTTGACAGATATTATCGTTTTTAGACAGAACTTGTTTTTTCGTGTTTTTTATAAGATTTGCATGAAAAACAATGGGTTTTTCGTATACGCAGTTTTTTCAAAAGAACATGTTTTGTGTAGATTTTTGTGATAATTACTATTAGCGTTTGCCATATACTTCATAACTCAGTCCTATATGAGTTCGCAAAATTATCCTTTGGTCGTCCTTCGCAGAAGAGTTGAAAATCTTTGTCAGACTCTGGGCCAATGGAGAAAAGCCCTCGTGGTCTAAGAGCTAGGGAGCGGCAAGCTTAAAGGTTTCTACGCTTTTTCCCTTCCCGAACCACCTGAGACATTCTGAACAAAAAAATATATCTGTTTTTCTATCTAAGCAAAACCTTCTGGCTTAACGTACTCCTTCAACTCAAAACCACCTTAAACCCTCGCTATATTAAGGCATAACAGCACAGTTTCTGTAGCATGCTATATCAGATCATCTCTTCTATCGAGATGTACAACCACATGTAATACCCTGAGATTTAGAACCATTCTATAAATATCCTTCAGGGTTCACGGCTTAACCCCACCTCCCCATTCGGAATGGTTCAAAATGCGGGGATGGTTTCGGCAGGATTTTCCGGAATGCGTTTCTATAATTAAGGGGGTATTTTAATAAATGGGGGAAGTGATTTCAGTAAATGATTTCTTCGCATCATCTTATGCGCTCGAATGCTTTTAGGTTTGGAGGTTTACCATCCTTCCCTTCTTTTTAATGTACAGCACATATACACTGTATACATACATGATGGGGGGTTTAAGCTCTTTAGGGCTAAACCCTCACGTCGTAGGGTTTTCGAGATAAGCCCTGACAAGAACCCTAGACGTCTAAACCCCATAGGTTTTAATGGGTTCATAAACCTAAGGTCCGGGCATGTATACCTTCAGCGCCCTTAGGGTTAAAACCTTTGAGCCTTTTTTGGGCCTTATGGGGTTTGAGGGTATTGATTTTAAAGGATTTAGGGTTAAGGTTTTTGATTCTGACAGGAGGCAAGCCCTGCAAACATACGGGATTTAAAGTTTGGGATTTAAGCCTCAAGCCCTTCAGGGTTGTAAGGTTCTACTCCAGAGGCAATGCCTAAACGTTAACCCCGAAACCTGTAAACCCTACAGGGTTCAAACCCGATAGGGCTTAAACGATGAAAGAAACCCTAAACCTGTAAACCCTATAGGGTTTAATGGTTCATAAACCTAAGGTCCGAGCATGTATACCTTCAGCGCCTTTAGAGTTAAAACTTTTGAGCAAGTTCCAGAATTCCAGGATTCCAACTTTTCCGGGCCACCCAGTTCCAGATTTCCAGATTTTTGAATTCTGGAATTAATTCCAGAATTCCAAAATTCCAGAACTCCAACTTTTTTCGGCCCCCCAATTCCAGAATTCCAAATTCTGGAATCCTGGAATTCTGGAATGCTGGAATGAATTCCAGAATTCCTGATTTTGGATTTTTGGAATTAGGAGGCCGAAAAAAGTTGGAATTCTGGAATTTTGAATCTGGGATTTTGGAATTTAGGAGGCCCAAAAAGGTTGGAATTCTGGAGTTGTTGATTTTTGGATTTTCTTCGAATGATAAATCCTCAGAAATCTGGATTTTTTGGATTCTCCGCTGGATTTGGCGTCTCCCACTTGATTTTCGTGCGAGAGGTGTGGTCTTGGGGGGGCGGCGAGCATATATATATATATGTGGCCGAGACCTTTAGGGTCTATTTCACGGCTGGTTCTTCTTTCAGTAGTAGTGCAATAATAATAATAATTTTAATATTATTATGAGTATAATAATACTGACCGTAATTGTAATAGGAATAATAATAGTACTAGTAATAGTAATAGGAATAGGAATAGTAATAATACTAGTAATAGTATTAGTAGTAGTAACAGTAATAGTGAAGGTTTGGTCTGTGTGTGCACCGGCGCCAGCAAGTGCAGCCATGTAGCTCTAGCACACTTTGAAGTAAGAGATAGACAAGTTGTTTCATAGCCTGAAGAGGGGCGAAGGGCTCTCTCATTTCCGATTACGAGGTAGAGGTGAGCTATCTCATTTCTTAGAAACATAGAGGAGATCTCATTTCCACGACAGAGACATCTTTCACTCAGGAGAGAACGCAAGCTGTTTCATTTCCAAGAAAATAGAGGAGCTCTATCATGTCGTTAGAAGTGAGAAGCTCTGCACTAAAAGATAGAAGGCATCGATTCGTTTCCCTTTTTCTTTTGCTTATCAAAGGGTCTTTTCAGTTCGAACACAGGATTTCTTTCATGCCCTATAAGAAGGATCGAGGAGCT